AAAAACGACATGAAACTAGCCACACATTAGTTTTGGTTCTCGTGACTAAATCAAGGAATGGCATGATGGTGCTGTGTCATTAGAAATGAAACCAGTTCTTATACAAGAGAATAGGGTCGACATTTTAATAGCCTGAACGATTTCATAGAAAAATCAAAGCTGAAACTTCAACACCCCAGTCCTGCACACCTGCTGCTTGAGTTTGGTTCTGAGCCAGTGAAACCTCTTTCTTGTGATGAAGACATGCAATGGGCCCCGACCTGCCCAGCGCCCAGTGGCAGGGAAGTCCTCCGCCATCTGCTGCCCTGCCTGCTGGGGGCTCAGCTCAGTCTGGGCTGTGACAGGACTGACTGTACTTGGCACTTTAAGAAAAAAGAAAAAATACCTCATGTTGGAGTCTCATTTTTTCAACTATGTAAGCTTGTATATTTTGTATACACAAATGACCTATCTAGATACACGGATTTGACCTTTCCTGAGATATTGTCGTCCACATCGTTTCAGATAAAGGAAACGGGACTTGAAAGGTTAAGTGACTTACCTAGAAGCAGGCAGACTGGGTTCTACACAAAGGTTGGCCTTCAACACAATGATGATGATGCTGATGTAGTCAACACACATAGCTGGCCTCCCCAGCGTCCAGCGTCCTCTCCTGCCACGGCACCCGCACTGTGCCTGGGGACCCACGCCCTCCGCCTCTGCCCCTTTCTGACAGTGGTCACGCCCCCAGCTTCCAGGGAGTGCCCTGCTTTGAGAAGCCAGTCACAGCACCCATCGCCTGACCGAGGGGATGGGCTCAGGGGTGGGCTTATGGCCCAATTCAGGACAACGAGGTTCGAGGAAATGTTTGCTAGGGCTTCTGGGAAAAAGCTCCCTCAGTCCTCTCTTGGGTCACCATAGGGGACAATCCCTCTTTTCCTGGATGGTATATCAGAGAATACAAAGTCCCAAATTCCCTCAGCCTCTGTGTTTCCAAAAGAGGTGCCAGCCGGAGGACGAAGCCAGAGCGCCAAGAGGCAGCGCTGTGCACAATGCGGAGTGGAGCCGGCCCTCTGGGGAGGTGTGAGTTCGAGACGTGCTCTGGAGCGTGCACCCTCTGCGCGCCGAGGCCAGACTGAGCTTGCGACCCTGTCACGCGGGAATTCTTACCCAATGCCAACACCACTGGCTTCGCTACCAATAGCATCAGATTGTGGCTTTGGCTTCAACAAAACCCATGTGACCAAAATGACCAACCCTTCCAAATGAATCAGCCTTTCTGGAGCACACCTCTGGCCGGCACCCGACTCTCTAGAGAGGACTCACGTTTTTCTGTTCCTGGGATCCGGCTCCCTCATTTTTCTGCTCCAGGCGGAATCAGTCTAGACCCAGCTCCTTCCAAGTCCCCCACAGTGGCGGGAGCTGGCCGCACTCTGCTGAGGAAGCCAGAGGGACGCGGCAGCCAGCCGCAGATCTCAGACATCGGCACTGTCAAGAAAGGGTTTTGCCACAATATATTTTTAATTCGGCATAAAATCAGGAAGGGGAAGGTTCTTGGAAGTTAGCTATATAAATCATTACCTCACCAGCTCCCTGTCAATGTGGACCTCGAGGAATTTTGTTGTCCCTCTTAGGGCTTTATTTGCTAGTGGGTGACTCTCATGGAGGTTCAAAGATTTGGCAGCAAAGATTATAAAGTCCCATGGGTCCAAAAATCTGTGATAACTGGTTTTTGCAATTCTACTCAATCTCAGTTTCTCTTAAAAAATTCTGTCATTTCCACTTCTGGCCAATATGACTAAGCACAGAGGTAGAAACACAGGCTAAACAGTTAAAATAATCCCGTAACTGCCCTATGCAGAGAAAGAAAGCAAGTGTCGCCCTGGCTGGTTTGGCTGAGTGGACCAGAGAGTCCTGGGTTCAGTTCCCACTAAGGGCATGTACCTCGGTTGCAGTTTGTCCCCGGCCCTGGTTGGGGTCGTGTGGGTGGCAACCAGTCAGTGTGTCTCTCTCACATCAATGTTTCTCTCTCTCGCTTTCCCCCTCTCTCCCTCCTGCTGTCTGAAGATAAATGTAAAAATATCCTCGGGTGAGGATTTAAAAAAAAAAAAAGAAAGCAAGTATCAGTAGAGTTGGACGTGTGGAGGAGGGCTCTCCCTCTCCCCCAATCGATCAGCAAGACTTGCCCTTCTTCATACATGTTGTGACTGACCATCCATTCCTCTCCATTGGGACTACAACTGTGACTTATTCACTCAACAAGCATGCACGGAAGGTCTGCTGTGGTCCAGGACTGCTCTCGTGGCTGGGAGAACGAGATGGACAACGAAATGGGCACCACCCTTCCAGAGCCTGCCTTGCTTTGGCCACTTGTAAGAGCCTTCTCGCTGACTGCCCCTGCTTCCTCTTTTGCTCTTCCCTTCCGGTCTCCACACAGTAGCCTAGAGGATCGCTTTTCTTTACAATGTAAACATGTTTATACTTAGAATCAGCCAGTTGGACTCAGTTTATTTTTTTTATTTTCATTTTTTTTGTTCAGATAGAGTGGGAGGGAGAGAGAGAGAAAAAAACATCGATGTGAAAGGGACACATCGAGTGGTTGCCACCCGCACGACCCAGCCAGGGCCGGGGACAAACTGCAACCGAGGTACATGCCCTTAGCGGGAACCGAACCCGGGTCTCTCTGGACCGCAGGCTTATGCTCTAACTGCTGAGCCAAACCGGCCAGGGCTGGACTCAGTTTAGATGACCCCAATTTTGTTGGCAACATCCAAAGCATCATAGTGAGGGGCCAGTTGAACTCACGCCTTCTTCTTTCCATTGGGCCTGATCAGGGTGTTGACCTTCGCTGCGTCAATGTCACAGAGCTTCTTCACAGCCTGTTTGATGTGCTGCTTGCCGGCCTTGGCATCCACAATGAGCACGCGGGCCTCGCATCGCTGTCCCCGCCTCCCACTCAGGTGTTTCTCCACTGGCCTCCTTTCAGACCCGCAACTGCGTTCTGTCTCCAGAGCTCGCAGTCTGCTCTTATTTCCTCCAAAGACAGTGCCTTTCACACCTTTTTTTTTTTTCACAATAATACATTTAAAAAAAAAAAATCCTCACCCAAGGATATTTTTTTATTTATACTCAGGTAGAGTGTGGGGGGTGGGAGGGCTTGGGAGAAAGAGAGAGAGAAACATTGATGTGAGAGAGACATCATCTGATTGCCTCCCGCAGGACCCCAACCAGGGCTGGGGACTAAGCCACAACCGAGGTACATGCCTGTGACCAGAATCAAACCCGTGACTCTTTGGTCTATGGGCTGATGCTCCAACTGCTAAGCCAATAATGCATTTTATATCAAAACACATCAACCTATACATACAGGTAAAATTAGTTTTATATAATAATACTTCTGGCATTTCTATGCCTTTTATTTATTGAAAATGCTAGTCAAGGCCCAACTAAGCCGCAGTTTGAAAACACTTCTCCTCTGCTCTTTAAATGGCTGAATCTTTCTCTGACTTTCAACCTCAATATGAGCCACTCAGAGGAGGCCCCTCAGGCCACCTGATCTGAACCAGGCCTCTGATTTAGGTGACTTCTCATGTGAGTCTGGTTGCTTCCCTTCACAACATTTATCAGTTATAATTACATATTTCTCCTATGAGATTTGCTCATTGCCTAGCACACCACATCTCTGGCTTTGAAGGCAGGGACTTGGTCTGCTTTGTTCCCCATTGTATGTCTAGTGTCTGGTTCAGTGATTAGCATTAGAGTAGAATATACATAAATATTCACTGCCTGACTGACTGATGTTGAGATTTGGATTTTAAAGGAAATCTCTCCAAAAAGGAAGCAGGCAGAAAGAATATATGTACCCCCATGTTTGTAGCAGCACTACTTACAATAGCTAAGATCTGGAAACAGCCCAAATGTCCATCAGTAGACAAATGGATAAAAAAGCAGTGGTACATATACACAATGGAGTATTATGCAGCTGTAAGAAATAAAGATCTCTTATCCTTTGAGACAACATGGAGGGTCCTGGAAAGTGTCATCCTAAGTGAAACAAGCCAAACAGAGAAAGACAAATATCATATGATCTCACTTATTTGTGGAATATAATGAACATAACAGTCTGAGGAATGGGGTAGTCCCAGAGATGTGGAAGTGGGGTACAGACTGACAATCCCCAGAAGAGGGGGTGGTGGGGGAGAGATAAACCACAGAACTTATATGCATGTATGCATGAACAGTGGACATGGACAACAAAGCTGGGGACAGGGTGGGGAGGGAGGGGAAGGGGGAATCAGTGGGGGGAAAAGGAGAAACATCTGTAACAAAAATAAATTAATTAATTAAAAAAAAAAAAGGAAGCAGGGCTGCTTGGAGAGATGGCTGGTTCTAGGGCTGGGGCAGGAAATATACAAGTGGTGCCAGAAAGTAAGGACGTGCTCAGAAACCCAAGGGTGGGATGGCAAAGGGACACAAGAGCCAGCCTGGAAGAGCTTCCAATGTCCAAAGCTGAAACAATCCGAGCAACAAAATACATAATCTACTATCAGATTATTAACCAAAGCATTAAATAAATATCCATGAGAGTCCATACTGACATAAATACTGGCTTGTTTAAAAAATACATGGGGGGAGCGGAAGCGTGCTGGGCCCATAAAAAATACATGGGGGGAGGGATCAAGCAAAACAAGCCAAGCAGAGAAAGACAAGCATCACATGATCTCACTTATTTGTGGAATATAATGAACATAACAGTCTGAGGAATGGGATAGTCCCAGAGACGTGGAAGTGGGGTACAGACTGACAATCCCCAGAAGAGGGGGTGGTGGGGGAGAGATAAACCACAGAACTTATATGCATGTGTGCATGAACAATGGACATGGACAACAAAGCTGGGGACTGGGTGGGGAGGGAGAAATCAGTGGGGGGGGGGGGAGAAACATCTGTAACAAAAATAAATTAATTAAAACCATTTAAAAATAAATAAAAAATAGCATCCGGTAGTTACTGGACCACCGGCCATGGCCGCCGTGGGAGGCGCCTGGCTTCTGCGTGCCTCTTCCCTGGCCCTCGGTGGCGGGGGCCCGTCGGTGGCTGCTTCTCGCCAGAGCCTGTGCAGGAGCCGGAGGCCTCTCAGGAAGCCAGGGGACAGGCGGGGGTGCCCAGCCGGGCCTGGGTGGTGGCAACGTGGCCACTGAGCATGTCCGCTGTTGCAGCTCAGAAGATAAAATTACAGTCCACTTTCTAAACCGCGAAGGTGAAACACTAACAACCAAAGGAAAAGTCGGTGACTCTCTGCTAGATGTTGTGATTGAAAATAATCTAGATATTGATGGTTTGGGTGCCTGCGAGGGAACCTTGGCTTGCTCTACCTGCCACCTCATCTTTGAAAAGCACATATACGACAAGTTAGAAGCAATCACTGATGAGGAGAATGACATGCTTGATCTGGCATATGGGTTAACAGATAGATCCCGGTTGGGCTGCCAAGTCTGCTTGACAAAGTCTATGGACAAAATGACTATTCAAGCGCCCGATGCCATGGCTGATGCCAGACAGTCCACTGATGTGGGCAAGAACTCCTAAGATAGAATAAATAGGAATAATTTCACAAAATTTTACCTATTTTTATAATTGCTATTTCTTAATGTAATTAAATGAGAACATGGATTAATGGAAAAAAAATAAAATAAATAAAAATAAAAAATACATGGGGGCCCGGCTGGTGTGGCTCAGTGGTTGAGTGTTGACCCATGCACCAAGGGGTCATTGCTCCGGTTCCCTATTGGGGCACATGCCCAGGTTGTGGGCCCGATCCCCAGTAGGGGACATGAAGGAGGTGGCCAATCGATGTTATTTCTCATCGATGTTTCTATCTCTCTCTCCCTTTTCCTTCCTCTCTCTCTAAAGTTAATAAAGAAAAAAAAAGTACATGGGGGTGTGGAAGGAAAAGGGCCATATGCTGAACCTAACAAGAGGAGGTTTGTATGGTGGCCTTACAAACTCAAATACTAAAAGTAACCACATAGGATGGTCTGAAATGAAAACATTTTAGCTAAAACCAAGTCCTGGAAGGTAGCTGTGTCCTAGGCTGGAGTCCTCCTTGATAAAGGTGAATCTTTACCTTAACTGAGCCTGTCTACTATCTGTTGCATCCATGATAACATACCTTTGAAATGTCAGGCTAATTTCTTTTCCAGACCCTTCAGGACACAATCTCCAGCCAGAGCAGAGACGCAGAGCCCGTCATGGTTACTGTTACCATGTCAACTGTTAACTGTTCACTATCTTGTAGCCACCAATGTAAAAGAAGGATGTGTCTATTTGGTTTACTCTGTATTCCATCCCGGAGATTCCACACCCCACCTTTGCTTTCTCCTGCTCCCTAATCTATCACCAGTGAATTTTATGTAACTCCCTTCATGATTCTGATGTATAAAATAAGTGGTAAAACTGCCATTTTCTGGAGCATTTTTTCAGTCCTTTGAGATTTTGTTTCCCGGCAAGTGTCATCAGTTTGGCTCGAATACACTCATAAAAAGTCTCTATAGCTTTGAATATTTCTTATGTCTACAGGGGAGAAGAGATAAATGTTCCTTACAGAAGAATTTCAAATAATTTTTATAGAGACTACCCTCCAGGAGGTTAATTCTCTCCACTGCACCCCACCCCCTTGAGGAGAGGGTGGTAAGAGTGAGGAAGTAAGACGAGGCCCAGTTGGCTTTGGTAAGGCAGACTCAGATATTCCCCAGGGAACTCGTCTGTCTTTTCATTATATCCCTAGTACTAGAACTGTGCCTGGGTCACAGTAAATGTTCAGAAACGCGTGACAGACAAGTGACAGTATAAATGAACAAGATCCTACACTTATTGTCATAATTAGTTCATATTCATAGAGAAAAGAAAGCAAAGGGAAGCCAGACACTGTGAGCATGGTCACCTTGGGAAGCTTCACCAGGAAGCTACAGCTTCACACAGCAGTGTTCTTCCAAAGGGATTAACACCCCTCTCTTCCCCCATCCAGAACTGGATTGTTGCGGGGGAGAAGGGGGTGGTAGGCACATGCGCAATAGAAATCGGAGTGGCACAGGGGAGGTGCTGGCTTGTCAATCTAGCCTGGGGAACAATGAACTGGCTAGGAGGTGGACTCCATCAGAAACATACAAAATCTTGAAAAGTTAATTGGTTAGTTTGAAGAAGCTCCTGGTTAAAATCCACAAAGAGTTCCTTTGCACTTGCTTGCTTTTGTTCTTACTCTGTGACCCGCCCTCACCCGGGCACTCACCTGTTCTCTCTCCATAGCCATGTGGTCTTCAGCAGCCCCATGGCCCATGGCCGTGTGGACCCCACACGCAATGAACTGCAGCTGGAAACATAAGCTCAGCTAGCCAGATGCTGGACTGGACAGGACTTCTTCCATGGTGAGACAGAGATGGGACCTTGAAGGGAAACCCCCTTAAATGTACATCAATAAAGCTTTCCATGAAACCGCATCTTCCCATGGGGACCTCAGGAAATTATTTTCCTCGTGGTACCCCAAAAACCAGTGACACTACTAGAAGTCCACCTGAACTCCAGAACCACTGGGTCTCCCAGGTGCCTACTGGTGCATTTTTGTACATGGCAGTGACTATGTTTGGGTCATCAGGGGTCCCCTGAAAGGCATCCGCATGTCAGCACTGTCTTTGAATGGCCCTAATGTTCACCCACAGGTACTGAAATGCTTGGACGTAAGCTTAGCTCCTTGAAGAATTTCTTGATGTTGTTAATGGGTAGGTCTGCTGACAAGCAGGAGTGAACAGCATCTTCTCGCTCTATTCTACTGTCCCATTAAACCCAGCAGGGGCTACAGCACTGTGGGAATGGGGGCTTCAAGCTTTCCACATGATCTCAACAGGATCTCCAGAGTGTAAGGAGATAGGTTAGACTTGCAGCGGTTCTCAACCTGTGGGTCGCGACCTCTTTGGGGGTCGAACGACCCTTTCACAGGGGTTGCCTAAAACATAACAGTAGCAAAATTACAGTTATGAAGTAGCAACGAAAATAATTTTATGGTTGGGGGTCACCACAACATGAGGAACTGTATTAAAGGGTCGCAGCATTAGGAAGGTTGAGAACCACTGTGTTAGAGGATGCTGAATTTTCCTGCAGGCATCTACTGACATTCCTCCTTACTGGTCTTAAATGCTCAATATATTCACTTGTGAAGGGAACCAAAATTTTGCCACCCTGAAGCTGCCTTTTTGGGATAGTCATCTTAAGCTGTTTATCAAGAAACAAGACCCAGCATATAAAAAAGGTTCAATGTCGCTAATCATTAGAGAGACGCAAATTAAAACAACAATGAGGTATCACTTCACACCTGTCAGAATGGCTGCCATCAACAAATCATCAGCCCTGGCCAGTTTGGCTCAGCAGTTAGAGCATTGGCCTGCGGTCCGGAGAGACCCGGGTTCGGTTCCCGCTAAGGGCACGTACTTCGGTTGCAGTTTGTCCCCGGCCCTGGTTGGTCGTGCGGGTGGCAGCCACTTGATGTGTCCCTTCACATCGATGTTTCTCACTCTCTCTCCCTTCCTCTCTCTCCCTCCCACTCTATCTGTACAAAAAAAAATGGAAAAATATCCTCGGGTGAGGATAAAAAAAAAAAAAAAACAAAAAAAAAACAAATCATCAAACAACAAGTGCTGGTGAGGGTGTGGAGAAAAGGGGACTCTAGTACACTGCTGGTGGGAATGCAGACTGGTGCAGCCACTATGGAAAACACTATGGTGTTTCCTCAAAATGTTAAAAATTGAGCTCTGGCCAGTTTGGCTCAGTGGTTAGAGTGTTGGCCCACAGACCAGAGAGTCCCAGGTTTGGTTCCCGCCAAGGGCACGTACCTCGGTTGCAGTTTGTTCCCAGCCCTGGTTGGGGTCGTGTGGGTGGCAACCAGTTGATGTGTTTCTCTCATGTCAATGTTTCTCTCTCTCTTCCCCCTCTCTCCCTCCCACTCTGTCTGAAGATAAATGTAAAAATGTCCTCGGGTGAGGATAAAAAAAGAAAAAAAGTTAAAAATTGAACTGCCAGTTGACCCAGTGATCCCACTTCTAGGAATATATCCTAAGAAGCCTGAAACACCAATCAAAAAGAATATATGGCCCTGGCTGGTTTGGCTCAGTGGTTGGAGCATTGGCCTGTGGACCAGAGAGTCCCAGGTTTGGTTCCCACTATGAGGCAAAAAAAATTGTATATATATGTACCCCTATGTTTATAGCAGTACTATTTATAATAGCTAAGATCTGGGAAAATAGCCCAAGTGTCCATCAATAGATGAATGGATAAGAAAGCTGTGGTACATATACACAATGGAATACTATGCGACTGTAAGAAAGAAAGATATTGTATCCTTTGAGACAACATGGAGGGACTGGAGAGTATTATCCTAAGCAAAACAAGCTAATCAGAGAAAGACAAATATCACATAATCTCACTTATTTGTGGTATATAATGAACAAAACAAACTGATGAACAAAACAGACTCAGAGACATAGTAGTAGGGTACAGACTGACAAACCTCAGAAGGGGGTTAGGGGGGAGGGGAGGGAAGGGATAAAACAGAACTTACATGCAGGTATGCATAACCATGAACATGGACAACAATGCTGGGGATGGGTGTAGGGGCAGGATTGGGAGGAGGGGGTCAATGGAGGAAAAAGGAGAAAAATTTGTAACAAAAATAAATTAATTAAAAAAAAAAAGAAAAATTAAAAATAGATAATAATACAAAAAAAAAAAAAGAAACAAAACTCAGAACTTCTGACCCTGCCCACTTTCCTGCTCAAGAGATTCAGACAGAAAAACCTGTTTCAGGAAGATGATCTTATGATGTTCACCTGAGCCTACTTTGAATTAAGTGTAGAAAATGGGAGGATTCAGTCATGGGTCTGTTAGCTAGATACCCATGTCCCATTGTTCTGAGTCTACTACTGAGAAGGCAAGCCTTCTGCAGACAACCCCCTCAGGCAGTGCAGAGACCCCGCCCCTGGCTTTTGTAATCCCCTTACATCTGCCAACCGCCTAAACTACAGCGGAACTAGAAAGCTCCCAAATACCTGGAGGCTTATCATGTATAAAAGGCGACTGAAACCTGGGCTCGGGCTCAGCCTTTGGAGGTGACTCCGCTGGGCCAGCACTGGTGTGCAATGAACGGTCCTTTTCTAATCCTCCGAGTATGTGCACTCTGTCTTTTCCCGCTGACCAAATTGCTGCCACAAAACTAGCAAGAATTTTCCTGCCATGGATGTTCTGCTCTTCCTCAACTACCTGTAAACAGCCCATTCTCCCCTCTGAAATCGAAAACCCAGTCCTCTCCTTCTTTTCTCCTTTGTCCAAAATGTCATATATATCCAATGTTGCCTCACTGTCCTTGGAATTATCATACCTATGTGCATTTCCTATGCACATGTATTAAAACTTAATTTTCTCCTGTTAGTATGTCTGTTAATTTGGTTACTGGCCCATCGAGAATAACTTAGAAGGTGGAAGAGACAGTATTACTATTATTATTTTTTAGCACCCACACTTGCTTATAACCTTGTTTATGAAAC